CATTTCCACTTACTCCGTGAGAGATCCCTCTACGTTATCATCCTAATCAACTATAAAGCATGAAATTGTTTTCGTATACTCCACATAATCATGAGCTCCCGACGAGTGGAGACCAACAAGTCGAAAGACTTTCTTGCTTCTACAACACTATTAGACAAGTAAACACTAGAGTCTTTGCATGCAGGCGATTACATTCTTGTCACACTCCCACCACTCATCAAACTTCTTATACCACTTTATGGTGGTGGAAGAACAATGCCTCTCGCAGATGACACGGCCAATTAGGCTTGATGAGAGTACCTTTCAATAGGTTGAAGGAAGATAGCCTTTCACTAGGCTCCGTACAGTCTTATCGACGGGGACAACCGTTCGAAGAGTGCACCAACGAAGGTTACACATATCACTTACACCCTCTAACCCTAGCACTTAGCGACCCTCTAGAGTTATAGTCTGTGAACCTTGGTACTACAACAAACGACTTGCTCGAATGTTGGAACATTGTATAAACATGGGTACTATGCAAGCTACTTAACTTCATTCATAGCATAGATAATAAAAGAGGATTAACAAAGTAGAACTTCCCCCACCTTTTCAGTAGAATGCTCGGCTTAGACTTGAACTTGAAAGAAATCTCGAGGGCTCGACTCCTGGTAAAACTACATTCATTAGGGTCATTCTTAGTTTCTTAACATGGAACTTATTCTTATACTTATACTTGTAATCATACATAAGCTTTAGAAAAACTTTGCTCGTTTGGCTTCGCCTTGCTTGCATCTTTTGAAAACTCTTCTTAGTTAATGTCTTAGGCGGATTGATGACTTAGCTTGCTTAAAAGACTTAAATTGCATCTAAGATTCATGATAACTTCAAAGAGGTAATCTTGGTTCAAACAGATCACATAAAAGAAAAAGGAAGGAATATACCATTTATGAAATCACCACACTTAGTTCATGAAATTTCAGCATACCCAGCAGTAGTAAAACAAGTATACTTTTTAGTACACAAATGATATAAACGTAAAACCAGTGGCATCTAAAACTTAAAACATGGACCTACAACTTTTATTTAGTACTCAAAAGCAAATAAGGTCATATACATGGTCCAAAACCAGCAAACATTCAAAGCTAAAATACTGTCCAGAACTTTAAAATAAATTCATGCGCGGTTTTACGAAAACAGGTATCATTCACCACTCGGACCATATTTTTGCTTATTTCCAGAACCACATGAAAGGTAACACATATAACTACAATTTCAATGAAAACTTCA